ACAATAATTCAAAGGCATTAATCCTTCAGCCTTCCTTTTTTACAAAAAATCATTTTATTGGGAACTCTTACAGCTCATAATCCATCCATTCATCCATTGTGTCAAGCACATTTGTACATTTGCCGCCATCATCATTTTCAAAACATTTTCTTTCTACTTGAGCCCCTGGTATCAGCTCATTTTTCCCCTTCCCCCCTCAGGAGCCCTTGATAATTTATAAATCATTATTTTTTCCATGTCTTACACTGACCGATATCTTCCTTCACCCACTTTTCTGTTGTTCGTCCCCCTGGGAGGGGGTTATAGTAAATCATTGTGATCAGTCTCCCCTTCCCACCCACCCCCACCTTAGCCTCCTGGTATCACTACTTTCATTATTGGTACTAAGGGGTTTATCTGTCCTGAACTGCCTGTTTGGAGCTCTTATCTGTACCAGTGTTACATTCTGTGATCTGGCTGGATTTGTAAGGCAGAACTGGGGTCATGATAGTGTGTGTGTGTGTGGTGGTGGGGGGGCGCGGGGGAGAAGTATTAAAGAATTAGAGTAAAGTTACATGAAATTCTCAGTGCTATACTGCACGCTGACTGGCTCTTCTCTTCCTTGTGACCCTACTGTAAAGGGAAGTCCAATTGTCTACAGATTGGCTTTGGGTCTCCACTCTGCCCTCCCCCTCATTCACATCGATATTTTTTTGTTCTGGGTCTTTCATCCCTGATACCTGATCCCATCAACCCCTCATGATCCCAGTCAGCCTTCCTTTTTAACTGTCCAACATTCACGTACATTTGAGGTGGCTGAAAATACCATGATATGGTTCAGTTTCAGCTTAGTCTTCAAAGTGTCATCTTTGCTTTTTAATACTTTAGAGAGATCTTTTGCAAGCAGACTTGCCCAGTGTAATGCATCAATTTGATTTCTTGAATGTTGTTTCCTTGAGCATAGATTGTGGATCCAATTAAAATGAAATCCATGACAAACTGGAATGCCCAGTACTGAGGGAATTTTGAACCTAGCTGTGTTTGGTGCTTTGCTCTACCTCCTGGTCCATAGGCAGCGCCTGAGGTCTTGAAAGCTTGCCAACAGCCATCCAAAGCACAAGTGGCCTCCATTTGCCTGGAGCAGCAAAGGAGTCAGTGGGAGGATATGACAGGTGTGATTACTATCTCCCTGAACAGCAGTCTCCCCTACCACAAGACCGAAAGAACTCGGTGGTGCTGGGTTACCTTTTCTGAACGTTTTGATCAAAGAGCCTATTGAAGAAACTTGATCAACAGGGGGGAAATGTAAAACAGAATTATCAATTTTCCGGGATTCCTGGCTTCCTGGAGCCAAGAAAGGTCCATGAGTCTCTTCAATTATAGCCCTGACATAATCTTTAAACCTTAAATCAAAAATATCCCCTAAACTCTTCTTCACACTAAACAGCAATTTAGTGCAACTAGTGAAAAAATGTCATCTTTGAAGTGGCCATCTAGCTCAGAAGCAACAAACCCCACACAGAACAAACACACCAGCCCGTGTGATCACGAGGTGTCTATGGGATTGGGTATCAGGCCTCAAAGAACAAAAAATCATATCACTGTGAATGAGACCCATCTGCAGGCAACTGGACATTCCCTTTCATGATCCCAATTCTACCTTACAAATCTGGCTAGACCAGAGGATGTACACTGGTACAGATAGGAACTAGAAACACAGGAATCCAGTACAGATGACCCCTTCAGGACCAGTGGTGAGAGTGGCAATACTGGGTGGGTGGAAGGAGGGTGGGGTAGACAGGGGGAACCCATTACGAGGCTCTACAGATAACCTCCTCCTAGGGGGACGGACAACAAAAAAGTGGGTGAAGGGAGACATGAGACAGTGTAAGATATGACAAAATAATAATTTATAAATTACCAAAGGTTCATGAGGGAGGGGGGACTGGGGAGGGAGGGGAAAATGATGAACTATTACCAAGGACTCAAGCAGAAAGCAAATGTTTTGAGAATGATGACGGCAACAAATGTACAAATGTGCTTACACAATGGATGGGTAGATGGTTATAAGAGTTGTAGGAGACAATAAGAATCTAAAAAATGCTTAGCACTGACCTTCGCACAAAATATACCAATTAACTCATGTTATTAAATACTTTTAAACTTCAACAACAACAACAAAAAAAAGAGTTGTAGGAGCCCCCAATAAAATGATTTTTTTTAAAGTCATCTTTGAGCATTATGATGCTTTTAGGAACTATCTGCATGGCTGGCTACCCATTGGGCTCCTTACGGCAAAAGCAGCCGTTCAAAACCACTCGCCGCTTCTTGGGAAGGGACAGGGCTTTCTGCTCCCAGAGAGTGACCGTCTCGGAAACTCACAGGGCAGCTCTACCCTGTCCTACAGGGTGGCTCTGAGTTGGAGTCAACTTGATGGCAGTGAGTTTTTTGAGTTATAGGGGGATCAAAGTGACAACAACTCAAAAGATTAGATAAAAACTTTAGGGGGAAGAGTGTTTCTGTTAAGAGGAACTGAAGAGGGTGACTTGTACATTCTTTTTCAAGAATGCAATCAATGTCACCAAATTGTTATGCAGAAAAGTTTTAACTGGTCTATGTTTTGCTGTTGATAACAACAAAAGTGAAAAAATAGATTAAATAAATCTCTCCAGGAGACAAAAGTCTTCCAATAAGGAGCTACTATGTAAAATACAACTTCAATCACATTATCTCCTCCCCTCTGTACCATTTCGGATTGAATGTAAATCACTGGATCTTGAGTTCTTGGAAGGTCACCCCTAGGACAAAGCAGAATGTGGAACCAGATTTTTGAACACCTACATTCAAATTGAATTTCAAGAGTCAATCAACTTGAGTAATGTATAGAAAATACCAAGTACGACACTGGTACAGACAGGAACTGGAAATACAGGGAATGCAGGGCGGATGATCTCTTCAGGACCAGTGGTGTGAGTGGCGATACTGGGAGGGTAGAGGGAGAATGGGTTGGAAAGAGGGAACCGATTACAAGGATCTATATGTGACCTCCTCCCTGGGGGACGGACAACCGAAAAGTGGGTGAAGGGAGAAGTCGGACAGGGCAAGATATGACAAAATAATAGTTTATAAATTATCAAGGGCTCACGAGGCAGGAGGGAGGAGCGAGCGGGGAGGGGGGAAATGAGAACCTGAAGCCAGGGGCTTAAGTGGAGAGCAAATGTTTTGAGAATGACGAGGGCAATGAATGTACAAATGTGCTTTACACAATTGATGTATGTTTGGATTGTGATAAGAGTTGTATGAGCCCCTAATAAAATGATTAAAAAGAAAATACCAAGTACGAATCTATATTTCACTGTAAACTTTCTTAAGACACAATACTATTAGACAAAGTTATGAAACTTCTTAGACATGACCAAACTTGAGAGAATGAGCCACTGGGCCTGGGGGATCAGGACGAGAGCCTCTGGGGGCAACTGACATTAACACAAGGACAATGGTATCCATCCCAAATTGAAAAGTAACAACTGGGCTCTTAAAAGCTATGAGCAGCCATCTAAGTGCAATTACTGGTCACTTCTTATCCAAAGGCAGAATGGAAAAAAAATGAGAGACACCTGGAAGCAATTAGTGCAATCAACTAATGGACAAGCAAACATCGGCCTCTCCAACCCTGAGACCAGAAGAACTAATTGGTGCCAAGCTACCACTACCAACTCCTCTAAAATGGACCACATTAAAAGGTCCCAGATATAGAGTGGAGGGAAAATGAACTCAAAATCATTTGAGAGACCATGTCAGATAGAAACTGGGGGGATCTGAAAGATAACAGCCCTGACCCTTCAGGTCTGGAACTGAACAACCATTTCGGATCAGAAGGGCGGCGGGGTTCATTCAAATCGTTAGGAAAGGAGGAAGAACGGAAACAAGAAACACAGGGTGCCGGAGCAGCAAAAATCCAGTAAAAGCAATGCAAAGGATGAGGTGACACAAAACGTGTACAAACTGTTGAATGTACAACTCTGTAAGCATTTACCTCATTCACAATAAAAGAAAAATTTAAGGAATAAATCCAACAGGTCACTGTGAGTCCCAAGTGACTGGATGGCTCCAGATGTGATTGTAGGTTTTTGTTCTGGTGTTGGTGCTGTTTAATCGATATCTAAGAAATCCCGGATTCCTTTAGAAGTGTGACATTTAACACACCTAAAACCAAAAACACTCCCTGGCCTGGGTCTGCCATCAACCTTTCAGGACGGGATAGAACTGCCCTTGGGGTTTCCAAAGACGGCGGAGTTAACACGACCAAACAACGCAAAAACCTCAAACGACGGCCATCGTGGATTCCGACTCAAACCGCGCCCGGAGGAAGCGTGGGACCGGGTCCCCTCGTTCTCCCCAGGAGGGCGGCCACTTTCGCGGGGAGCCACCGCCCAACGCTTAAGCCACGGCGCCACCGGGCCGGACCCACCTTCCCGGCGCCTGCGCCTCACTCCGAATTCAGGTGAACCGGAACCCCGGGAAAGCAGCACGTGGAGCCCGACCTTCCGGGGTCCCACTTGCCGAGCTTCGCGAACCCCGCGACTGCGGCCAGCGGGGGCGACGGGGGGCCCGGGCCCCGGGGCTTCCACGGGCCCAGAGGCGGGGGTCTGCGCGCTCGGGGCCCTAGTCGACGCCCAGCGTCCGCTGCGGGCCGGCTAAAGGCCCAGTCCGCGCTCACGTCGAAGCTCACCCCGCAGCCTTCTCCGCGCGCAGGCGGGTCGCGGGCCCCAGGAGACGCCCCCGAGGTCCAGGAGCTGGGGCGAAAGCAGGCGCCCGCCGCTCGGCCCCGGGTGCGCGGGCAGGAAACCCCCCCGCCGCCGCGCCCGTCCACCTCCCCGCGCGTTTCTCGGCGCCGTCGGGGTCGGGCGGGGGCTCGACCTCGCCGGCCTGGTCCCCTCGGCCCCTCGCCGGCCGGCCCTTGCGAGTCCCCGCGAGCGCTCGCCGCCCGACGGTCCCGCTCGCCCCCTTGCCGGGCTCACCTGCACCACGCAGCAGCCCTGGGCATCCGTGCCCGCGTCCGGCAGGATGAGGGTCCGGCACAACAGGCCGGGGTGCAAGAAGTGGACCATGGTGACCCCGCTGGAACCGAACGGGGCCCCGGGCCGGGCGGAGGCGGCGTCGGGGGCGGCCGCGCGGCGACGGGCGCTGCAGGCTCCGGGCCACGCACTCCCTGCGCTCCCTTCGAGGACGCCGGCGAAGAGCTCCGAGAAACTGGGCGTGGCGACGCCCAAGCCCCGCGGAGGCTGGGCCGCCGGAGGCCCCGCCCCCGGGAGCCGCCCCCCGCCGACCCCAGCGCCCCCGCCTCCGGGCTCCAACCGCCACCCGTCGGCCTGCCCCCACCCCCACCCCCGCCACCAGCCCGACGCGCTCACCCAACTCCTACTCACCCCGCGGGGCCCAACGCCCCTCAGGCCCACCCCTCAGGGATTGATCATTTCCTCCGCGTTGCCCCAAGGGGACCTTCCTGCCAACTGAAATTGGGGAAAATAGGATGTAGATTTGAAATCTTTGAACAGTGCCTTTGGTTACAACAGCTCGAGACACTGGATAAATTAAATATCAAACCATTTCTGCCTTTATTAGAACTCAGAGTGACTACGAAATATTATCAATAACCTATAGAGGAAAACACATTTCTTGTCATCCAAAAAATACCAAGAAGACCCTTAAAATGGGCTCCAAGAACTTGAGCTCTGTAAGAAAAAAAAAATAGGTCTCGGAAAATGATCGATATGAAGGGTATGAGTCTTAGTCTTTAAACTATGTTGTGGAATGGCAGCTCCACCATCTAAGGTCTGAGACTTGGGCAAGAGTGTTCATTTCTCAGGACCTCAATTTCCCCATCAGTAGATTAGGATAAGAATACTTTTTCTCACACGATTAATATTCCCATAAGGATTAGATGAGTGTCACTTTACAAGTTCTTGATAGATGTATTCAATTGCTAAGATAATTTTCAAGTACTAGGAATTTTACAAAATGCTTTCCTTTGACATTTATTTACTTAATCCTCTTTAAAAAAAAAAAAGGTGATCCCATGTGTGTCCGAATCAACCTGCGCTCCAAAAGGCTTCAGTGGCTCAAATTTTGGAAGTGGAAACCCAGGCTTTTTTGGGGGAAGGCAGCTCTGTGTGGACTCAAACCTCTGACCTTCCAATTAGCAGCCAAGCCCATTCTATTTTTGAGATCCAAGTATTACAGAGAGGAAGACTACAGTCAACTTTTATCCTGCAAACTTTGCAGTCAAAATGGAATCTTTTAAATCCAAGTCCAACCCATAGTTGACTTTTTAAAAACTATTCTCTGTCCTCAAACCTTGAACATATCTTCCCCAACCACGCCCTCATCTGCCTCCTCATCTGCCTTGATCAATGAGAAAAGATAGCAATAAAGAATATCCCTAACTTCCATCATCACATTTAGCCATTATCTCATTCCCTCTGGCTTCATCAAAAATGCCATCTAGCAACATTCCTTTTTGCTCCTGCATTATCAATTTCCCTCCTTTTATTGGATAAGTCCCACCAGCATGTAAACAAGACAGATAGAAAAGACAAAGTATCTAAGAAGCAAAGACCTGGAGTTAAAAGCCAAAAAGGAAGGACATATTCAGTATTTGTTAAACTGAAAGAACTAGAGAAAAATAATGCAAGCCTTAGGTTGTAAGATGGAAGGATTTTATGGGCAAAATATTGAATGATGCAGGAAGCTTCAATGGAAGGAATACAGAGAGCTACCATAAAATAAGAATTGGTCAGTATTCGACCTTTCAAGAAACAGTATATGGGATTAAGAACTGTTGCAACACAGAAGGGTGGGTGAAGGGAGATGCAGTGTAAGATAAGATATAATAATAATTTATAAATCATTAAAGG